CTCTTTCTCTCTCTCTCTCTTTGTGTGTGTGTGTGTGTGTGTGTGTGTGTGTGTGTGTGTGTGTGTGTCTGAATCTGTTTGTCTGTGTCTCTGTCTCTCTCTCTCTCTTAATCTTTCTCTTTTTCTTTCTCTCCCTCTCCCTCTTCCTCGCTACCTCCTTCCCTTGTTCCACCCCCCTCCCTCTTCTTTTCCCTCTCCCTTTCTTTCTCCCTCTCTCTCTCTTTCACCACTCCTCTCTCTGAGCTTCCCCCTCTCTTTTTCTGTCTCTCTTTTTTCTCTGCCTCTGCCTGTCTGTCTGTCTGTCTGTATGCCTGTCTGTCTGTTTGTCTCTCTCTTTCTCTTTCTCTCTCTCTCTCTCTCTCTCTCTCTCTCTCTCTCTCTCTCTCTCTCTCTCTCTCTCTCTCTCTCTCTCTCTCTCTCCCTCTCTCTCTCTCTCTCACACACACACACACGCACACACACACGCATATATATGTATGTATATACATATATATGCATGTGTGTGTGTGTTTATATATAATGTATACACATATACATAAGCAATTAGTGTAATGAAGACTAACTGTCAAAAATTACATCACGTGGGACACGCCGTGGGAGTCCATTATCACTCACGCGAGACTCGGCGCATGATTCAGCACCGACTTTATGATCCCTCAGTAACCAGACGGTACTAAGACGGGCGATAAGGCCAGCTGTTATCGGAATGTCATTTTCATTTGCTGGATCGTTGGCACGTACCCTTTGCCGCCTGAAGAAACAAATGCTTAATGTGAGTAAAGTAGAATTAATACAGTTTTCATGATTATATCAGATTGCCGATGCAAAATAATATGGTGTTTGCTGTAAGTTGATATATTTCATATATGATTTACTGTGTAAATCATATATGGAATATTGGTTTGTATCAGCTGTATGTTTAGGGAAACGAATGTATGTATGTATGTATGTATGTATGTATGTATGTGTGTATGTGTGTGTGTGTGTGTGTGTGTATGTGTGTGTGTGTGTGTGTGTGTGTGTGTGTGTGTGTGTGTGTGTGTGTGTGTGTGTGTGTGTGTGTGTGTGTGTGTGTGTGTGTGTGTGTTTATATACATATGTAGATAAATTTACACATACGTACATATATATATGGATATATATATACATATACATATATATTTGTGTGTCGATATATACATATATATATACATATATGTGTATATATATTTATACAAACATATATATACATATATATACACATATATACATATACCTAGTATAGAACAAGACCAGAGAACAAGTATGGGTAGGCCAGAGCTTAAAAAAAGAAAATGAAACAAAAAATCTGACAGATGAAAATGCAAAAGCAATAATGAGAACAGTAGACTAATATAAAAGCGATTTGTATATCACAGATATAAAATCGGCTGGTAACAGAGAAGACACCCGGATATATGCTACCTCACGCGTGCGGGGTTAAATGGTGGAATGGGGTTTCAATCAATAACAGCCCTGTTTGGGAGCACATGGCTGTGAATGACAACAGGTCTAATTACTGCTATTGTGTGTATTTCGTGTTACGATCGTGTGATACAAGATCTTACCAGAAAAGAGTGAGTTCATCCAGTTCCAGTAACTAGACCCATTTTTTAATGCAAAATATCATCTGCTGAAATTCCTTATGTGATGCAAGCTTCTAAACAAAATTACACCCTCTGCAACCTTTCTCTGACCTATATACCCGTTTTCTTTGTTTCAACTGAGAAGCCGTATGGGCGATGGCGGTGGTCGCGTTGCCATGGCAACCGAAGACGTTCTCTCTAAAGAGCTTCTCTTTTATACGGAGTAAAGAAGAACCAGAAAAAACCGGTTCAGGAATCTTGACTTCCCGGGTCGCCGCGCCAGCTGATGCAGTGAGAGCCCGAGCACTGACGCCGGAGGACGTCCGCAGCTCCCCTCAGGTTGGATCACTGGTCGTGCTGAGATCGATTCACGGCGTCGCATGTGCTCGCGCGCTCACCTCTAACCTCAGAAAGCCCATATTTACTTGAGGTATACTGCGTTTACATTAGAGCGATACAGCACAAGAGTAAGATTCCTTCAGCTTCGCCTGCAAAAATGACGGAAAAACAGCTTCTGAAGCAAAGTGATAACACTTTCACTCCGCCAGCGACCAAAAAC